GGAGGAGTTTTTGTGCTGCAGAGCCACAGCTAACAGCTAACAGCTAACAGCTAGCTCCTCACTTAGCGGCTCTAACGGAGCCTGTGTCGTTCAGCGCTGCTGTCCTACAAGTTGGACTGAACCATTGTTCTAACAATAATAGGGGGAGGGGGGGAGCTAAAAATTAATTCTTATTTTTTTCTTAGATGAATGGCATATTTATTTCATTCTTTGTTTCTTTTGCTTTTCATAATGATCTTGTTTAAATGCAAACGTTTCTTCAATATTATTTTTGGGGGGGATGGGGAGGACAATTCTAGCCTTTTCCGAGATGGGGGAGGGGGGGGGCCGGAACCCCCCCCCCCCTCCCGAACCCCCCGGTATTTACGCCTAAGCATGACACAATTGTGGAGGCAAACGAAGCCATTATGCAGGCAGTAGATACCCTGAGCACTGTTGGAGCATTAAGGCGTGTAACTACTCTGAAAGAGAGGGATTCCCTTGTGCAATCTGCTGCAGACATCTTTGTAAATGGCTGAATGTGCACCTCATTGCAACAGTAAGCAAGACCCTAATTTTTTCTATTAGAAATCTTGCTGTATTCTAAAAGTATGACCATATTCTAATTTCTTAAAGGTTTTTGGAAGGTTTGAAGACTCTTAATGTAGTAGACGAGATTCAGAAAAACCTTGCAGTCTTTCATGAATTGTCTGTGAGGAGAAACCACTCTCGGTACGGGACCTGCACACTTTTCCAAGTGTTTTTCTGTGCAAGGCAGCAATAAAAGGAGGATCAAACCATATGCTACTGGAGAGACTGGTTGGTGGATATTGAAGGTACATTTATTGTGATACTGTAAGCACAACTGGAATCAATTACATTTTGTGACCAATTTATCACCACTGTCCAAAAAGAAGTAATCATAGTTTGAGTATAGAAGCAGACTTTTTAAATGACTAGTGACAGGACCAAAACAGTTCAATTGCTAGAAAAGGGTCTTTCCTGGAAAGTCTTTTTCTTAAGCTGCCATAGAAATGGTCTATCTTTTACCAGTGAATATATATTGGGTAATCTGTTGCATAAATGCATACTTTTACATGCTATTTATAATGATCATGCTTAGTTATGGTTCATCTTCAAAATGTTTATATTTACTAACAAGAAATGCATTGTCATCATCGATCTATCAAGATTGAGGAGGAACAAGGACACACATTTAACACATTTTCTTCCATGTCTTTAAGAGTACACACTGGATATCAAAGGTCATAATTTCAACATTTTGTCTTTCACAAGGAGAATGCAGTCCCACTGCCCTCGAAATGATACTGGAGTTTGCTTCCGGAGCCTCCACTAGGCTTTCCCCATCATCCACAAATTGAATTCCTCCACGAAGCTAACAAAGTCTTCCCAGAAGTAAATACTTGCTTTATAGTACTCCACCTTCCTGTACACCCAGACTATGAGTCTTTCACAAAGTACATGACAGATGGGGTGCTGCAGACACCTAAGTTTGGTGTTGCATAATCAGCTAGTGTCAAAATGTCTTATCAGGTATTTTTGGACTACTTTCTAATGCAAATATCTTAGAACACCAAAGATAAAACTTGTGTTCGGTTAGATTTGCCCCACAATATGAAAGATTTCTTCTTCACCAACACACTGCACTCCTGTTTGTGCACTGCTGCCTCTCACTGGTGGAGATGGTGTATTGCACTACTTAAAACAGCCTTACATAATGTTTCAAATGCAAAGTTCATAAGTGCTTTGCAGACATCTTGCTGTAAAACTTTAGGATCAATTAAATTAAAAAATTTAATACTAAATAAAATGGCAGAGCAATATAATATTACCACATAAAAGCTGCATCATCAGTAATACTTTTATAACAAATTTATGACAGATCATGAGTCCTTGGTTAATGTCAAGTTGTCATAACAAAGACATTTAGAATAATGTCAACTTTGTATTAAAAGTGTCATAATTTACCAAATGACAACAGTCATAAATATTCATGAAGACTTTCTCATGTTCATGACAGGTGTTATGTCAGTCTTATTCACACCCCCATCAAATAAAGTGTTACCAAATTTTTATTTTTCTTTCCCTCTCCAGAATGTATATTTAATTAGTCATGTCTTTAAATGCCTTAACATTTTATAATTAAATTTGTAAGGTTACCTACTCATGTTAATTCCAAGTTTTATTTGTAGTAATTGAATCTTAGGAACAATGCATTTGATCAAATGTTCTTGATGTTTGTCACTCCTTCTCAAACACAGTGACATGTATTTAAATCAATAAGGCATTTGCAATTTCTGCACAACAGGCCTGGTATTTCAACTTCAGATCAGAAATATGATTGACTGCAAGATTAACTGACTGAAGTTGCTGCTGACTGAGCCTGGTTTGAGGTGGTTCTGCAACTACACTAGGGACCTGCTCAGCATCAGTGGCTGGTAGTGGCCAAAGGCCATGATGTTGCAGAAGTTCTTCAAGTCTCTGGTGCGTTGTAATTTTCACTTAACACGTCATTAGTTGCTGTGCTGTTGGCACTCATGTTTGCCAACATCCATTCTGTTCAGATTTGTGTTGGTGTTCTGTTGTTTTCTGTAGACAATGAATCAATGAATGGTGGTTCCATGCTCTTATTAATTGTTCTAGTCAGTTTTGGATCTCAGGAAGAAAAACTATGTGAAGAGAAAGTTTGTGCACATCACCGCTGGGATCCAAGAGGGCTGAATCTTCAAGATTATAAAACGTGCAATAAAATGGTTCCAGAACATGTAAAAACACATCCCTCCAAAGACGCTCGATTCTCTGATGGATTCCCCAGTGATATGACTCCGACATTCAATGCCCTGAAGGAGGTTCATCATCATGGACCACTTGCACATTCTCGCCACCACTAGAAGGTAAGTCATAGAGGCCTGTTGCCTTGAGAAAATGAAATAACACTGTTGAGGCACAATTGTCTGTGGTACAGTTCAAGTAATTAAGCAAGAACTTCCATCGATGCCACCATGGACCACAAAGCCCCATCCAAATGGAAAAACAAAAAATGTATGAGATGGATGTTTCCATCAATATGCCATAAACTGTTGGGATACGGCACATGATAGACACATCAAGACGCTGCACTGCTCCACCTCCTTGAAGTTGCCATTGGGTTGATTTGAGCCATCATCTCACGGACTTTACACCATAGAACCACCAGTCCTCGTGGATGTAACAAGCCTCGCATTATCTGGTTCAATGAAGGACATGTGGTCGTACCATTTTGAACCAACACACAATTTATCATTTTGAAAGTAATCTTTTACAAAATATAGGTTTCAGATTTCACATCTGGTCATAAAATAAATGATTTTTTTCTTATCATTTGTGACACTTAGTATTAAATAAAAATAATTAGTATTCTGCAGCACCACTGTTGAACATATTACACATATTTGTTCAGAAGCAATATATTTAGATGCTATACATCAGTCTCAGAATTTGGATACAGGGATTGAAGTTGTCTCGTATTAGTTTCAAGGTCTTCATCAGTCACTGCAGCCAGCTTTCCCCTTATTGGTAGACCAAGTGCTTTGGACTTCTTAGAAAGAAATGATGTTGAGCATCCAAAGATGTTTGCCATCCTCTTGGCCATGTGTCCTTGGGCAAAAAGAAAGTCGATCTGCTCTCTTGTAATATGAATAGATGGTCTACCTCGACCATCTAAATAGAATCATATTCAAATGCCTCAGCATGTTTACAGAGGATTTTTCACCGCAGTGAAATTAGTTTAAAGTTGGATATTCAATATTTGTGCGCTAATTTCAGCCAGCTGTTCTCTACCACTCCCTCCTCGGCGCTCAGAGGTTCACTTCACTTAGGGACCATCAACAAATTTCCAAACCAAACACTCCAGACAAACAAATGTTAATAAATGCCTTGTGACCAACGGATACAAAAAAGTGGCAATTCATCCTATTACATGAGTCACACCATCCTCCATTAAATCTTAGTCATATTTAATATTTTCAAATAATTTTATTAAATATTTTCAATAGCTTCAAAGTCGTGTGCCCCACTGACTCAGTGTGAAACTGCTCCACTACACTGTATAGATGAGGCACATTTTTATTCCACTGCAGCTCATTTTTGGCTTTTTAGCTTTGTTTAATCAAAATTTAGTATTTTTCAGTAGCTTCTAGATCATGTGACCTATTGACTCAAAAATCAGTGTGAAATTGTTCTAGACTGTAGATGAGGCACACATTTTTATTCCCTTTTGAAACTGTTCTGAGCTTAGAAGTTGATTAGTCAAAAGATGCTTGTAAAATATTTGACTGTTGCTGTTGACATCACAGCTAATAACATTGGAAAAAGATTTTTCCTAAAAGTAGATAACAAAAACCCCTGAAGATATTTACCTCACCTTTACGAAGCTCCCCAAATCGTACATAATGTGACTAAGCAGAATGGAAACGGATGATTTTCTTCCCTACAGAAATATTTCTTAAGTAAGTTCGGTTGTTGATAATAACCAACACAATAGAGTTAAGCAATGTTTTTATTGGCATTTCTGAAGACCATTTTACAACAGACTTAATAAATCATAGTTCTAGAGAAAGGGAGAGAGAAAAAGTATCCTACCAACTGTTGCTTTGCTTCTTATATCAACAAGCAAACTATTCACCATAGGAAAAAAAATCCAAAAGTTCTTTTTAACTCAACATCCAGGGTTGCGTCATTTAATCATTTAGGAACAAAAAGAACAGGTTTACATATTTTACCTTTTTTTTGGTAAAAGGAGGGACTGAAATTATTAAAGTAGTGAGAAAGGAGAGGATTTGTTACCTCAGACAAAAAAAAAATAAGAAACAAAACCCAGATCAGCCGACTGTCTCACCCAGTCTCCAAAGGAATAAAGATCAATTAAAAGACATTGATAAATGGGGAGAGATGTATCTGATACGGGAAGAGGCAGCTACAGCCTCACTACCCTTATAAAATAATTAAAAAAGAAAACCCCATACATTTCCCAATTGGAATTTTATGATTTATACACATGAAAATATAGATAACACAAATGACAAAGCCTTGTGTAAATCTATACATTCCATTACATAGATATTGATGATGGAAGAGAAGACCGTCGTTTGTCCAGGAGAGATCAGGTTGTCCTGGTAACCAACAGCAGATCAGGTTAGGGAGGGGATGACTTAGAACCCTAGAGATGGACAGAAGAACAGACGGGCAGTATCTTCAATCAGTGGTCAGCAACTTGCTACAAAACCTGAAAAGCTGCAACTATTAGTTCACCTGAGGAATGAGGAACTTCAAGCAAAGAACAAAGAAAATACATGATGCAAAGCAGACCAGAGAATAGAAATGTCAATTAGTCAGAAAGCAGCTTCTTAAGATCATAAGATTTTTAGCCTTTAAAACATCTAATTTAGATTTTATTTTTCTCTTGAGATGTGCAAATTTCAACTCCTACAAGCTTTTTAAAACAACAGTATGTAACTTTCACAAAAATATGTTTGGCACATTTGTTATCAGTGTCACCATGTCATGACAGTATACTAGGAGACAGGTAAGATGTGAAATGTCTACCTCCTCTCAGGGCTGATATTGCCCTTTGAAGAAATGAACCACTCAAAAACAACCAGAGCCAGGAGGGTCTTGGCGCTGTTAACTTCCAGAAAAAACAACAACAAAAAAAAAACATTTATCTGCTGTCAATGGTGGCTATCCTAACTTCTGTTTGTGCTTCTAAAACAGCTTGATGCATCTGTCCAACCGGATCAACTGGTTAGTCTATAGACTAACCAGTTGATCCCTAATGGGGATATTAGCCCCATTAGGGGCTATAGACTAATGGGACTGGATTAGCAGTTCAGCTAGTTGAATATTAACTAAAACCCTGTCAGTGAATATGATTTTTAAGGTTCTCATCAATGCATGAGAACCCATGCATGTATTCTGCATGGATTCTCTTTTCTCTTAAGCCAATTATTTTCATGGCTGTTATATGAATATGGGCCGGCTTGTCACCGAGTTGAACAGCTAAGTTACCAAACCAAGCTGTGATCCCATATAATGCTTTCCAGTAATGCACAGTAAAAAACTGGCATTATGTTAGAACCCATGTTCATGGATGACCATACAGACTTACTATTCTTAAAAGGGCAAACAGTTAATGTCCATCTGAACCCCGAGGTATTTATAGAGTGACACTTGTTGAATGGCATTGTCCTTTATAATGACAAGCTCGTGGTCCGGGTGCAAGGCAGGGGATGATACACTGCCTTGTGGAACTCCAGCCAGCCTTTCTCAAGGCTCGGGTCTACATTTCAAGTTAATTGGGCTTTATGACGACAGGTTCAAGGCGGGTCTGGCTTGATCTAAACTCTTAGACATGGAAAACATCATCTATGTTGTATTAAGGGTTAGGGGTTATTTGTTCATGAAATAAGTATTTTTTTTAGTTTTTCCCTTTTCAGATTTTGCAAGTTGACATCAGGCATTTTGATGAAAACGAGGCAAAACCACGCTTTAGGAAAAAGGGGTTGTGGCCACAGACATCCAAGTTCATCACCCATGAACAAATCAAGAGAGTTCTGGAGCTTGTTAAGAACTACGATGAAGACCACACCACAAGCACCAGCAGGATGTTGCCAGGTCAACATCCTGCTAACAAGTATTGGCATGTGAAGTTACTGCCAACATGTGTTGGCACCAGAGTGGCATCTCTGCATGAAGTCTTGGTATGTATAAATACTTATTTTTATGAACAGTGAAATGCCAACAGACCTGATGTGGTTCTGGGTAGAACTCAGTGATGCAGAGCCCATTAGCTTTCAGCATTCATATGCCTGCTGGCTATCAACAAGCAGGCATATGTCAATTAAAAGATCAGGCCTTTCTGCTCCGATGAAGTAGAAGGCATTACATGACCAGCACTAAGAGCTACTGCACAGAAGAGGACGATGGTCTGACAGACTTTTTGTTAAAGTGAATTAAAATGAACATAATAATACCTGTGGTGTCAAGTTACAGCGTCTGTCTCCATGACAGACTAAAATCCAGTGTTCATGGACAACTCCACAACAAAGAGACAAAAGCTCACAGCTTTATTGGATAGCATCTAAAAAAATATATTTTTCTTACTAGATAAGCTCACAAGACAAAAGGTCTGTTTTGTTTTGAGAGCTTTTGTCTGTACACTTTCCCAGGCACACATGTTGCCAATCAATGCTGAGCAGTGGGACTAATGCAATGTGATGAACAATCAAAAACACACGCAGGAAGACTTGTTACTACGGGAGGGCAATATGGACGAAAGTTTATCATAATACTTGGTGGGAGTAGTTAGGCCTGTTGTCAAAAGCAATAAATCAATCGGACGATAAAATAAAATGAGGGCGATAATATTCCATTCTTATTTGGTTTCGTCACGTCACGTCTCGTCTCTCTTTCTACCAAAGAGACTGGATGACAAAAAGCTTCACTCCGGTGTCTGGAGTTACTCCTGCCCTCTCGTTCCCTTGGAAAAGGCTAAACAGACGGGAAGTTAAACGCCTCAGTTTCCGCCACTTGGGCTGAACCCCACACACGGGTCATGATGGCGATGACAGGAACAAAAGTTGAAGAATTTTCAACTTCCTTGTGTGGCGTTGCTAGGCTGTGTGTGCACGTTGCTATGACAAAACTTTGTCGTTTTTTTAATCAAGCAATCAATTTTGTCTATAAACCAGCCTTCATGGTGGAGGCAGCTCACTTGAAACATAATAAAACATAATACAGTCTGCTGGTGCAAATACCAGAGTTGTGAAGTAAACTGCTAATGTCCCCAACATTAATATGAAGCTGCCAGATCATATTAATGTTAGGGATTACTCACAATAGTCATCAGCAATGATTTATCATGGCATCTATAGTTAATTGTTATGTGATCAGAAGTTCTTAGTTCATAGAGTTTTAAGTTTGATCTTTTGTGTCAAAACATCTTGTACGTAGCATACATCAGTGTGAGATTGTGGGGGTGGGAACACCAACGCCTAAATCTTACGATTTGAATGAAAATGAATGAGCAGAGTTAGAACCTCCAGTAGTTCTAAGATTCAGCCTGAGGTTTTTACAGGTCGAGGTCGCCGGTTTATAAGCTCTTTTTGTGGTTTTGTGAATTGAGAAGCTGACAGGTCACAGTCTGGTTGACATCAGCAGATGTCAAAAAAAAAAAAAGGTCTGACAGATCACACAAAACTATCACTGCATCTGACCTGCAAGAGCACAACCACCTCTCTAACTCACATCATGTGCACATAGCATAAACCTAAACCACAAAAGCAGCAGACTTTTTTTTTTTAAACAAGCAATGCTAAATAATAAAGACATGACAGCAAAGCCTACCCATGTGATCCACGGAAAGAGGAGGATGTTGATTCCCAGGCTCAGGTAGTGTCAGACGTCCAGAGGAGAAGAAGGTGAAGCAACAGTGTTTGCTTAATTTCTACTCTTTCGGGGAACATTTTGACTAGATTAAATAGTTTAACCCGCAGTCTGACACGCTCAGTAAGAGCAGCAGATGTCAGTCAACAGGTGACCCATCAGCTCTCCAGTTCGGTAACCGAGTCATTAACCGACAACCCGTCAGAAAAAAGCTCTGGTGGGACCCAGATGACCGCTCTAAGAACTCGTTCATTTTTCTTACAGAGAAAGTGCCAAGCCGACAAATAAACAAAAGCAATCTGACCAGTAAGATTTAAGCTTTGGGTGCCCTTTGACCCCAACAGAATCACACAGATGTGCGCTACGTACAATATCTTTTGACACAAAAGATCTTTTTTTTCTCCACAAGTTTGTTAATACTAAAGAGGGTTAAATAATAAAAATTCAAGAAATTATTTTCCTTTTTCACTTAAAGGATCTCGAGGTACGCAGAGTGGGTGCAGCCGTACAGCCCTCTAATATCCTGCATGCATCTGCGCATAATTTTAAACTTTACCCTAGAAAAGGGTTTTATACATAAAGCAATTTATTTTAAACGTTTTTATAAATTACTTTTTAAAAAATTCTAAATATAAAAAGTTACTTCAATCTAAAAACCTTTAATTAAATCATTTTTTGGCAGTGCTCCCTAATGACAATGGCTATTTTTAGAACTTGCTCTGCGGGCGACGGACAATGTCCCCTCGGGGGACAGGGTGTCTGCGGACACCTTGTTATGACCACTGCTCTATGGCCATATCTTCATATGCATCACTCTGCTTTTTATAAAGTTCGACTTTAACACAGGACTGCACAGTGACACAGTTGGTAGAGCTGTTGCCTTGCAGCAAGAAGGTCCTGGGTTCAATTCCCGTGCTGGGGTCTTTCTGCATGGAGCTTGCATGTTCTCCCTGTGCATGGTGGGTTCTCTCTGGTACTCCAGCTTCTTCCCACAGTCCAAAACCAAGACTGTCAGGTTAACTGGCCTCTCTAAATTCTCCCTGGGTGTGTGTGCATGGTTGTTTGTCCTGTGTGTCTCTGTGTTGCCCTGCAACAGACTGCCGACCTGTCCAGGGTGACCACGCCTCTCACGTGGAATGTTAGCTGGAGAGGCAGCAGCAACCCTCCTGACCCACTAAGGGACAAGGGTGTTAGGAAATGGATGGACTTTAACACAAAACTCTGCATCTCCCACAATTCTAATGACATTGATCACACTAGTGGAATACATCAGTATTAGTTAATCTTCAAAGTTTGCTAAGAATCAGAGCTTATTTGTTTGAATAACACCAAATCAAACTCTGACACTAAGTGCTTTTAATGTTTTCTCCATTTATATTTCAACAGCATAAAAAATACATTATAAAGGAGAAGTAAGTTTCGTTATTTAATGTAATTTTCAGATCTTGAACTAAAGTTTACATTTTTGTTCATGTTTATAGAAAACAGAGACTCGGGTAACTCACACAGCCTCCGTGTTGTAGTCATCCTATTTGGCCACATGATGGTGCCAAACCCACCCTATCTGGGCCAGCATTTCTCTACAATCTGACTCGGTATGCTTCATGTGTGCATTTATAGCAACTTCTAAGCACTTTAAAAGGTTTAATCCACATGTACGTTATTGTGGCTCACAAGCACATTTATAATTCCCCCCCCCACCAAATATATCTTAAAATAAGGCAGTCCTGCACCTCCAGGTCACTTAGGGGTGGATCTTTGCAGTTTATTTTGTTG